GAGAGAGAGAGAGAGAAGCATTGACTGTTATACAAAGGTGACAGAAAAAAAAAGATGCGTATGTCAATATAAACATATCAAATCAATTCCACGAATGATCGCTATAAGGACCTCCACTAGTAACTACTTGCGAAGGTGGCGGTGGCGTTGTACTTCCACTACTATGAAAACGTTGTTGTAGATCATCAGAATCAACACCTGTGGATTCTGGAACTGTAGCTGGTGGACCACTAGTTAATTCATGATGCATACCAAATGGTAAATCTAATTACAAAAAACAAAAAATAATACATTTCTAAATTTGTTTTCTTTTTCTTTGTTTAAATCATACCTCCTGGGGGTGGTGGAGGTCCTTGTGGTGGTGGTGGTCCATAACTAAGTCTTTGATGTAATTCTTGTTGCATGATATAATCATTATAAGTTTGTGATGGTGGTCCTTGATACATAAAATCACCTTGAAATGCTTCTAAAATAAAATTTCTATTAGAACAAAAAATAAAATTTTTTTCTTTTACCTGGTAAATAATTTAAACCTGGATGAGGAATCATTTCATTTTCATCAAATGGTCTACCTGATGCAACACGTCTATAATAATGTCTACGTGGTCCACCACATGTTATGGATTGTTTAATACGACGTTCTTTTGAACGACGATTTTGAAACCATACTTGTATAACACGCATGGCTAAACCAGTTTCACGTGCTAATTCTTCTCTTGTATGTCGTGTTGGTTTTGGTGTTGTTGCAAAAGCTGATTTTAATTGTTCAAGTTGTTTTGTTTTAATTGTTGTACGTGGTCCACGTTTTTTTGGTCCACTACCATTTATATTTGTATTTTCTGTATTATCAAGATTTGATGATGAATTTTTTTTTTGATTATGATGACTATGTGATGATGAACAACCACTTGAAGAATTATTTGTATTTGTCATACATATTTGATCATCATCTTTACAATCTAATGAACAATCCGACATAGGTATATCACCATCATTCATAATCATTTCATCTTCTTTTAAACAATCTGATGAACTTAAATTTGAATCTGGTGTACTTGTTAATAATGTTGATGTTGGTGGTTGTATTTGTACATGTTGTAATGATGAATTTTCTTTATCAAAATCATGTATTGATGATGATGTATTTGTTGTTGTTGTTGTTGTTGTTGTTGATATTGATAAATCATTTTCAGTTTTAATTTCAATATTTGTTGTTGATAAACGATTTTGTTGTTGAGATCTTATATGACGACTTGGTGATGTTAATTTACCATTTAATATTGATGATGATTTACTACTATTATCATCATCAAAATCATCTTTAAAACAAAAAAAAAAAAGATAACAAAATAATTTTTTTTCTTTTTTTGTTTTTACCGGATAGAGTTTTACATAAAGTTTTTGTATTAGCAAGAAAATCTTCTTTACACATAAAACGATTATCTTGTGTTAAATGTATTTCTTCACCAGTATTCATTTTACGTGAACAAACACAACATTTATAACAATCATAATGATATAATTGATCCCATGCACGTAAATAATATTCTCCTTGACCAATTTCTTGTAAACAACCTGAACAACGACGACACCAATAACGTCTTAAAAAAATAAACAATATATTTCATTTCTTTTTTTTTTTTTTTTTTTTTTTTTGTTTCATCCGTTATAAGATATTATATCAATATCAATCAATTTGTAAGTATATAGAAAAACAATTATAGACAATTGAATTAAACAGCCTTAGGAGGAGGTAAACCACTCAATAATAATTTTGTCAATATCTTTTCCCTTTATATTTAGAATAATAATCATACCTATAAAAATCTCGATTACAATAAAGTTTTCCTTCACGTGTATAACATTTTTCCGTTAATGGTTGACCACAATCAATACAACGAATACAATTTGCATGCCAAAGACGATCTAATACTTCATAGATCCATTGATCTTGTATGGGTTCACGACAAGCAGCACATACAGAAAATGTCATCTAGAGTAGAAAAAAACAAAAGAAAGAATATATGAAAATCTCTTCGAATTAATTCCATTGAATCGTGTGAAAACAAAGACGACGACGCGTAATTGATAGAGTCAATTTTTTTTTTCTCTAAAGAAAGTCAGGAGATTTTAATCCTTTTGCTAATCTTCATGTAAATGAAATGACGGCGGTATGAGTAAAAGAAGTAGATAGCTTACGGGCACTAAATTGATTCTTCTTCATTTATGTTTTTTTTTTTTTGAAAAACTTCTTTTTTTATCCAATAAAATAACGGTTTTATTATTATT